AGTGTGTGTGTGTGTGTGTGTGTGTGTGTGTGTGTGTGTGTGTGTGTGTGTGTGTGTGTGTGGTGAAAATATGAATAAACGACACTTTACTTTTGCCTTATAGTACGCAGGCATAAAATATCACTTTTTAGCACTAGTAAACATTCTTTTTTTTTTAAACAAGCAAGTCAGAAACGTCAAGTTATTGGAAGGCCCGTTTGTTTGGTAGAAAAATAAGCTGACTCTGTATATCGAACCCTACTCCAATTATAATACCATAAGGCCAATGGAAAACAAAAATGAAAGGAACCGCATTTTTTATATGGTGACGCCAACTAACTAATTGACTTGTTTTGTAGCAAAGCTCTGCAGGAGTATCGCGGAGGTCTGTGCTAGCAACCTCCATGGAGGAGCTCTGCAGAGCTGAGGGCTGTACGGGACAAACGGGAGCAATAGGGGCTGCATAAGCAACCTCCATGGAGCTCCTTCATGGAGGTTGCTCATTCAGCCCCTATTGCTCCCGTTTGCTGACCTTGGTACTGCATATGAACTTTCGGTTTTTGTAGTCCTAACATGCTATGGTCTTAGAATCTTGGTGACAGGAAGCTATTTATGTAGGTATCTTATAGAAACTAATTAAAGGCACACAATTAAAGGCAAATTATGCAAATAGAGACCTAATTTGCAAAAATAAGGAGGGAACAGCAGTGTTTTACATAAAAGTACTTTTATACATGTGATGTAGCTTAAGTCTTTCTTAGAATAAAAAATTAACAATTATACAAATCAGGATATAGTTTGTATAATACTGTCTGTTCAAAATTTCGCCATGTGTATATTGTGAGCTAAAAGAACATCGGCAAATGTTAGTTACTCCAATGTAGGCATAATTTGTTTAACTAATCTGTAAACGCTGTAAGTCCACTGATGTAACTGACGGGACTTCCCTACTTGTGGTGTTTGGAAGTAAAGGCAAACAACACTAATTATAAATTCAGGACGTCATCTGTATAATTTTTTTAAAAAATTGAATAGCCCTCCTAAATAAGATAACACTTTTTATTATGTTAAGAATACTTTTTACTTATATACTTCATCTAAATAAGGCTTTTGTGTTCATAAGAAATGAAAACGTTATTCGTCTTGGTTAACGTGATTTTGCGCTCATGGAACTCAAATAGCTTTAGCATGGTATCAATATCACATCAGATAACACCTCTTGTCAGAATAATTTTGTATTGCATAAGATAGGTGATTACGTTTATTCAAATGTGTTTTCTGACCCAGTTATCAAAGTGTACGTTCTCATTGCTGCTGCGTTCTAAGGTTTAAATGGAACTTTCCGTGTTTTGATTTGATTACGAGTAACTCATTGCACACGTTATGATACTGACGAAAAATTACGTATGCAAATAAATAATATAGATATGTTAAAACGACAAACGAGAACTAAGAAACAACTACTAAATATCCTTTTGTTTTCTAGAGATCTCCAGGAAAAAGTACAAGATAAAGGCAATGGCAGCGTTACAAATAGATCGAAAAATACACCCATGGAAAAGGCGCCTGATGGGCAAAAAAGGTATATATGCAACTAGAACAAGGACTGATATTTAAACATCATAAGATACAAACAGACGTGGTTATGATAGGTTTACCTTGAGGGACCTTTTGTCTCGAAACATTTAGACATCTGTTTATAATAAGATCGTATAACCGCTATACCGGTTTTATAATCACTAACTCCATCGAGCACACTCAAAATCTTTATACGACTAGTTCCCCCTATAAACCCTCTGTCGTCCATTGCTACAGATAGTTGGTTTAGATTCAAATTACTGCCAGTTTTTTAATGCATGCCTTTGACTCCTGTTTCCATGATTCGGGTTCCACAGTAAAAGCCTGTGTACCTAATCATTTTCTCTCCTGCAGTAACCAATAAAACGTAGGCTTCTTTACGTGTGTGTTGTTTTAGCGTTTGTCAAACGGTTCTTTGACGTTTGTATCCGCTGTTATATCTGTAATTTTTGTTTCATGTCAGGAAGAATCATTCTTATTACAAATGGGTACCCGGGGAGTTAGCTGCTACGAAGAAGTTCAAGGCCGACCAGACAGCCGTGCAGTCCATACCCACAGTTGCACCTGGGTGGGTCTACAACAAGACAGCTGCTGATTTGTTTCGGTAAGAGACGCGTTTTTAAAACCTCTAACCATGAGTTTCATTGCAAGGTCAGCAGTGGGCTAGCCTCCTGAGTAGATGACCAGACATCATAATGCATACATCAAAAGTGGGGTCGTGTGGCGTAGCGGTAGCGTCTTCGGCCCAGACTCGAGAGGGCGAAGGTTTAAATCCTGCCCAAAGCAAACGATCTCGTACATTAGGGAAAGGCACCTCACACGACTTTCCTCACTTCACTCAGGTGTGAATAAGTACCTAGCTTCGGCTAGGGACGTCCCTCGGATAGGACGTTAATAAGAGGCCCCGTGTTTGGGAGAGCCACACCCCACGCACGGTAAAGAACCCACCGCACTTATCTGAAAGAGTAGAGGACCTTTCCGGTGTGAGTGGTTCAAACCTAACAGTCTGGTCCTAGGATTGACATCTTTGAAGAGGTGATAGTCACCTGTTACGTCAATCCTTTCACAAATGTGGTAAATCGTCATTAAATAAATAAAAAAGGAAAACAAATATTATTAGAACGCATAATACATATATTAAAACAAAGATTAATATTACGTAAGTATGAAAAATAGCACTACCTAACAAAGGAAAGAATAGCTTTCTTATAAAAATAATTGGTGGTAAGTATTCAGGCAACAGAGGGGAGCAAGGAGCCAGTACCTGGCCTGTGTACATAGGTAGGTAGGCAGGCATTCAGGCAACCACTATCAGACTTACCCAGTATTTACCGCTGTTGTTACGCAAATATTCTAAGCCGTATCTGTCAGACTTACACGTTGCATAAAAATATCATGTAAGATGAAGTTTCTGGATTTTCTGGATTTTATTTCTGGACTTTATATGAAGGGCTCACTTCAGAAATATGGGTTTACTTAAAGCATTACTACCCACAATGATTATACACTAGCCAACTCGATCAACTAAAGCAACCATTAGGAACCTTACGTGGCATTTATCATCAGCAGTATATCCAACTTCCCCTGCAAAGAAAAAACAAACGTATCACGCATTTTAGAATCCATCCAGGTGCTAGTGCAATGTATTTCTTAGGAATATCTGCACTGATAATAAACATATCTTACTTCTATTCATTTTTTTGTATTCCACAGGAAACAGATAAAACACGGCAATCACATTAAAAACGGAGATTTTCTGACAACACAAGAAACTGCAACATTGGACTTCATATTAAAGCGCTACCAGTCTGAAACAACGCTAATGAACGTGTCTAGAGAAATATTACACCGATTTCCTAAAGTTGGTTTTCAAGAATCACTGTCACTTATTATAATCTAAAGAAAAATGATGGACAGATATTTGACGAATAGGAAATATTTTGAATATTTTTAAACAATTTTACGGGATTACATATATCCACCATTATATAAAAATCGTCTAAGTAGATGTTAATTCTATGACTTTGCTTTCTTAACACTACCTAGACAGGGGGGGGGGGGCTAAAAGTGCCCGCGCCAACTTTGATGTTACATTGCGTCTGAACGGCTAACGCTAGAACGGCCAAACTTTAATTCTATGACTTTGCTTTCTTAACCCTATCTAGACAGGGGAGGGGGGCTAAAAGTGCCCGCGCCAACTTTGATGTCACATAGCGTCTGAACGGCTAACGCTAGAACGGCCAAACTTGGTGACTTTTCCTAGAATATTGTTACAATTATGTATCATTGGATTAAGATAATGATTTTTTGTGTTGCCATGGCAACGGGTTTCTGACAGACATTTTTTACTAAATTTAGTAATTTTAGTTTCAACAATAGAATTTTATGGGTTTTATGTCAAGTTACACATGGTTTCTAATATTAATAACATCCCATAAAATTTTATGTAAATGTTATTATTATAAATGTATAATTTATGCTACTTTTATGACGTCATTGGCCAAAATTCAAGATGGCGGCCCATATCATTAAAACAGGTATATACAGGTTATTTTCCATACCATTTCATCAATACTTCTATTTTATTTACAAAAAGGTACATATGAACGTCTTCAGTCTGTTTACACTGTATTTTATGCTTTATCCTTAAAAAAAACTATTTCTAAAAATTCAAGATTGGTGATCCAAGATGGCGGATAGCTTAAATATGCATGATGTCATTTTATGACGTCACCGGTGTTTCTATGGATAAAATAAGACTTAGTACACCCTAATGTTCTGTCATAAACACTTTTGGTAAAGTTATGTACCATTTAGTTTTAAAGGATTAAGTTTTAAACCGATCTAGACGGTTTTGGCCAATAAAATCACTTTAATGACATTATAATAACGTCAAATATGATATTTCGTCATAACGACATAAAAATTGTACATATAAATTTTTACTAGTACACCATTCTCTTAAAATTTGTTGGTCATACGACATACCGTTCGCGAGTTTTGAGGGGAAGGGGTCGAATGAGCACCCTACCGGGTCCCACCAAACCCTCAAAAGCCCAGTCTAGATAGGGTTAACCCTACCTAGATCGGGGTTTTTTGGACATGGAGGGAACGGGGGGGGGCTCATTTGACCCCCTCCTAAGAACTCGCGAGCGGTATGTTGTATGACCACCAAATTTTTAGAGAATTGTGTACTAGTAAAAATTTATCATATCTACAATTTTCATGTCGTTATGACGTAATATGACGTCATTATGACGTCATTAATGTAATTTTTTTGGCCAAAACCGTCTAAATAGGTTTTTCCCTGAAAACTAAATGGTATTCAACATAACTGTACCAAAAGTGTTTATGACAGAATATTATGGTGTACTAAGTCTTATGTTGCCCATAGCAACACCGGTGACGTCTTAAAATGACGTCATGCATATTTAAGATATCCGCCATCTTGGATCATCAATCTTGAATTTTCAAAACTAGTTTTTTTTTCATGATAAAGCCTAAAATACATTGTAAACACACTAAAGACCTTCATTTAAACCTTTTTTGGAAAAAGAAATGGAAGTATTGATGAAATTTTAATGAAAAAATACCCTGTATATACCTGTTCTAATGATATGGTCCGCCATCTTGGATTTTGGCCAATGACGTCATCAAATTAGCATAAATTATGCATATTTAATGATAAAATTTACATAAAATTATATGGGATGTTATTAATATTAGAAACCATGAGTAACTTGACATAAAACCCATAAAATTCTATTGTTGAAACAAAAAGTACTAAATTTAGCGAGAAATGCCTGTCAGAAACCCGTTGCCATGGCAACACAAAAAAATATAATCTTATTCCAATGATAGAGAATTGTTGCCAACAATATTCTTAGAAAAGTCACCAAGTTTGGCCGTTCTACGGCTAGTCGTTCAGACGCTAGGTGACATCAAAGTTGCCGTGGGCACTTTTAGCCCCCCCCCCGGTCTAGGTAGGGTTAAGGGGGACTCTACTGTGTGTCAACTTGTTACCTCCTGGTAGGGATGTATATCCCGTGCGCGGAGGTTTTGTAAGGGAAGACGAAAATTACGTTCGCAGCCGTTTCTAGCGTTTGGGTGGACGGATATGTCTGGGACTTGGTATACGTTTTGCTATTGGGCTGTAGATGGTGCACGTTGTTTTGGTTTTTTAGTATGTGTGTTTTAGTGCGTGAAAATGATGCGTTGAGACAGCGTATGGACACCCCTTTCAGTGTGAAAGTGGGCCTCAACTTTTGACCTTTGCATGTATAAGGACCATTGAGGTCTCGACCACTGATCTGACCTTTCACACAGAGGGGTGTCAGCATTCTCGATAAATTCTTTCTTTGAAACTGTTCAGATGTGAACCACATGTGCCGTCAATCAACGTCTCATTATCGTGCCTGGTGGGACCCGCTCGGGGGATACTTTAGTACGCGTTCACAGGACACGTAATCGGCACTTCCTGGTTAGCCAATGGGTCAGGGGTCAACGTACTGTTGCGCAACCTTTGTGTTGGTTGTTTTCGGCGTATATTACGACTTCTAACTTACAAATACCGCGGATTCAGACCTTTACTTCCCCAATTTATACGAAGAATCGGCGGAAAATGGAGGAAGTGACAATAAGGATGACTTGCACATGCGGGGAGGTACTTCAGCAGTTATTTTTAACGTCTGATTCCATTTAACGGCTCCGGTTGTCATTCTGAGTTTCATTACGAGTTCCTTGTGGCATAAGTTCGTGGCGGCCCGTTTGTGGGTACATGTTATAGGCTGCAGATGAAAATACTGACCTGTGTTAACACAACCAGGAAGGCTAAATCTAACACATAAAATTCAACACCATCAACTACATTTATATAACAAACAACATATAAAAGGATACAATAAAAAGCTCAGATTTTATTATTCGCACGCGCGCATCAGTTTTGGGGTTCCCAGAGGATGTCATCCATATAATCAAATCAACATGGCCTTACTTACATGTTAGAAGGGTAACACGCGCACCGGACGATTGGCGGCTGGCGCCCGGAGCGGGTGTTTGTTTACATTATCGCTGGTCGCTGAGGGTCGGGCAGCCAGATTCGCCACGGGATGCCCCCTGTCCTTTCTATTTTTGGGCCCCAGTCGGCTAGGGGGATTAGTGATTTCACAGATCATTTACCCAATTACAAACATTTCGAAACTTTTCGAAAAAATGGTATTCGCGCGAATTCACTAATTTAAAGAACAGTCCCAACATGCACCCAACATTCTGCAACACACATTTCAATACCCGGAGGTACAAAATCTACGATTTTCCTTGTTTACATATGTCATTTAATCTCTGAAGCTCTTGATAACGGAAAAGAAGTTCGCGCTGTTTTTTTTAAAACTTTTCCAGGGCCTTCGACACTGGCACTCAGGTTTGATTTTTAAATTGCAACAGTACGGCATTGAAGGCCCTCTCTTAAATTGGATGTTTAGTTATTTATCAGACCGCTCGCAGAGAGTAGTAATTGATGGACAAAACTCTCATTGGTCTAAGATTGGCGCAGGTGTACCTCAGGGACCCGTGCTAGGCCCTCTGCTATTTATTGTGTATATTAATTATATTGTTAACGAGTTACTTACTATGCCCTTTATATTTGCCGATTATAGCTATTTATTTGAAATGGTCAACACCCCTATTGCGTCCGCACATAAATTAAATTCTAAATTGTCTAAGATTTTGGATTGGTCCAATAAGTGGCTTATGTATTTAAATCCATTAAAGACTGAGGAAATGTGTTTCTCTGTCAAAAACACACCTCCTTATCACCCTCCCCTCTTTCTTGGTACGTCTAAAATAACAAGAGTCGCATCCCATAAACATATTGGAGCGGTTTTGTCCTCCAATTTGTCTTGGGGCAATCGTATTAACCAAATATGTAATAAAATCTCTAAATCAGTCAATGTGTTTAGAGGACTTAAATTTAAACCTTCTCGACAAGCTCTTGAAATCATCTGTAAACATTTTTACGTCCATGTCTTGAATATGTGGGCGCAATATGACATGGTTGTACTCATCTGTCGAGAGAATCCAATACCATTGTTCAATTGTTGTATCCGGAGCCATTAAAGGTTCCTCTTATTCTAATATATGTCAGGAATTGGGTTGGGAGACTCTTTTAAGTAGGCGTCATGTCCATAGATTATTATTATTTTATAAGATTGTTCACGGCTTAACATGGACATACCTGACTGAATTACTTACCCAAGAAATTTTTAAAAACAAATTTAACTTAAGACTCAGTAGGCCTATTACTAATAGACATTGTAAATCCTTTATCCCGTACTGTTTAAATTATTGGAATGCTTTTGACTTTGATATTCGCTACTTACGTTATGTACCTTTTAAAAATCATCTCACTAAACTAGAAAGGCCAATATTTGCTTTGGAGCAAATACAGCGATGGGTTCACCACATTTTACGACATGGCAGGGAAAGAATGAGAAACACAAGGGAAAACAATGATTTACATTGATATAACTATAATATGAAGAAACATACAACTAAAACAACAGTTGGATAGCTATTCCCTACTTTATTGGTTAGGATTTTTAATTACATAATGCAAATTGTTGATTTTCAAAATAAAAAAAAAACGTCCATGCCCCGCATTCCAATGCTGGAGCAGAAAAGCTTGAAATACCTACCAAAACACTTGAATAAAGACATAGGTCGTGTCTATACGGAACCACCCAAGGCGCGATTCGGGTAACTCACATTCTTCACATCTGGTCCACGTGCCACACACACCTGCGAAACCGTGTCCGAACATAATGCGCTTGAGCTACATTTATTGCTGTTTGATGATAACACGCAAGGCGGCGTGTTATTAATGTCAGAGGTCAACGACCTGCTTGCTGATGCCCCCCTCCCAGCGTATCTCGGCCGAATGCCGACGTGGTCCCGCCAGAGGCGGTGAAGCTCGCCCTAGAACGGACACATTATTTGACCATTACTGCTCTTTAAGTTGCTGCCTCGTAAAAGTTGGTATTGCATATAAAAAAAGAAATATCACTCCGTAATCCATGACCAGGCGAAGTCACATTGAAATCACATTGCGTTCAGACGCAAATCGCGATGCGGGGAAAGCGATTCGAAACCACCTCTAGAAGTGGCTTGGGATCGAGGCGCTTTCAATGTGATTTCGGAGCGTTCAGATGGAGCCACTTGAAACCGGCTTCGGGGTAAACCACATGTAAACCGCCTTGGGTGGTTCCGTATAGATAGGGCCATACTGTCAGTATGGAAATGCTCTGTGCAGGTGTTAATCAAGTTAAATCCCAACAGCCAATCAGCAAGAAATGCTCTGTGCAGGTGGAAATGCTCTGTGCAGGTGGAAATGCTCTGTGCAGGTGTTAATCAAGTTAAATCCCAACAGCCAATCAGCAAGAAGTATAGAGGAAAGCTGCATGCCTATTGGTTGATGCCCTGCATTCCATTGTGATGACTCATGCCCAGACGTGGTAAACACGTCACACTAACACAGTAATACATTTGCTATAACACAGCCAAAAAACTCAAATAAAACCATTCTAAAAGCCTGTATCACAAAAAATTAAAAAACGCCTAGGGGTATTTGCCCACTGTACCTCCATACCAAATTTCAGGACCTTAGGCCCTAAAATGAAGAAGCTGAATCCATTTAAAAAATTGCAGGAGAAGGAGGAGGAGGAGAAGAAGAAACATCAGAAAAAGCAATATGGGTTCACCACCACTTCGTGGTGTGGTGAACCCATAATTAGTACGCCCCGTTCGTCCCCCGTGGTACTCTTGTGGCCCCAGATACACATTCGCCCTTCTTACCCGGTCACACATCGGCACCTGCAAACTTAATAATAGTATTTTTAATCGTGCTTTGATTCTTAGCCCTTCATGTATTTGTGGGTACCCCTGCAAATCTATTTCTCATTTTATATTACATTGCCCTTTTTTTTACTCAGTTAACCCTACCTAGACTATATACAGGTTATTTTCATTAAAATTTCATCAATACTTCCATTTCTTTTTCCAAAAAAGGTTGAAATGAAGGTCTTCAGTATGTTTACAATGTATTTTAGGCTTTATCATGAAAAAAAACTAGTTTTGAAAATTCAAGATTGATGATCCAAGATGGCGGATATCTTAAATATGCATCAGGTGTTGCTATGGGCAACATAAGACATAATATTCTGTCAAAAACACTTTTGGTACAGTTATGTTGAATACCATTTAGTTTTCAGGGAAAAACCTATTTAGACGGTTTTGGCCAATAAAATCACATTAATGACGTCATAATGACGTAATATTACGTTATAACGACATAAAAATTGTAGATATGATACATTTTCACTAGTACACCATTCTCTAAAAATTTGGTGGTCATACGACATACCGTTCGCGAGTTCTTAGGGGGGTTAAAAGAGCCCCCCCCCCCGGTCCCCCCATGTCAAAAAAAGCCCGGTCTAGGTAGGGTTAAGAGCTGATTTTCTTAACAACCTCTCTGACTTAATCGGTCCTTTGATTGATTTAGATGCCCTTTCTGAAAGTGCCAGGCTCCATCTTGTACTCAAGGGATCGTTTGCGATACCCTCTGAGTACAATAAAAAAATTATGTTACTTACCCAAACTTTTATAAGCGGCACTAAACGTTTCTTTGTTACATAGTATACTCTGTTTTGTTTGTAACATATAAATTATATGATACTTGTCTTGTTGATATATTGCTGTATGTATAGGGGTTTAGTTTTCACCGTACTACTTTATGTTTATGACTACTTGTATGATTATTGTATTTATGTTAAATGTTAAGTTGGGCTGTAAAATAAGTTGTATAACTTGAGTTCAGTCCCACTTCATCCTTGTATTTGTATCGCTTTATTCAATTTAAAGAAATGTACAGATTTTGTTGGAAAATGACCAAAATAAAAAAAAAATTATGCCTGTATCGGAAAAAATGCCTGGGGGTATTTGCCTTCATACCTAATTTTATGTTATTTGGCCCAAAAATGAAGGAGTTGAATCAACTTAAAGAAATGGCAGGATGAGACTTACTGGAGGGCCGGGACCGAGGGCGATGCGGAATACACCGTGTTGTATTTTATTTATGTCATACCCATTCAAGAAAACGCGCCTTTCAATGCAAGATAAGCAAAAAGTTGGAAAAAAATTGGGGACCCTAAACCCCCAAATGCAACAACTTCAGTTCCAACGTTCGGATTCTGTATTTGAATTTTTGACAGCGGCGAACGCGGTTGGGGCGAAACGTCTTCGAATTGTTCTATGGAAGCCATGGAGCCCAACGTCATCGCGACCCGGGTATGATATAATGACACATACACGATTTAACTTATTAAATGAAGATTTATTGTAGGCGAAAATTTACGTAAATGCTGATAGATACGAGGTGCCATCGCTTGTAATAAATGTTGAGTAAGGGTCCTTCAAAAAAAGACTACGGTAAACTTTAACACATAGAATTTATTAGGAAATATGCTTTAATTAACCAATGCTACAATACAGGGCGAATCTAATTGTGTTGACCTTACATGATGAACATTAAATTCGGCTTTAATCATAAATACTGATCTGGTTAATTCCGATAATAATAACTATGTATTAATTATTACGAATAAGGGATGATAACCTGGATTGTGTAGTTTGCGTATTGTTACTTGTACATTATATAGAATAAAATCAAGTGATTATTGTTTTCTAGCTTTGTTCACAACCCATTGTGTTTTTACACAGTCAATGTTATGCATGTATAGGTTGTAGTTATTGCGCTTTGCCTTAAACCGTTTCTCAGGTTTACGGTATTTTGAGTAGTTACCAGGAACAGGTCCTCCCCTCACGTGACGGACTGCACAGAAGCTGCAAGCTGCCACACGGAGCCTCCCAAGAGCGGACAGGAAAAACTCTGCACAAAATTATTTAATTATTTCAAAACAATATCATTGTATCAAACCGGAATAAAAATGTGTAATGTTAAATAAGAATAAAATTGATAATGAGAATTTCTAAAAGACTATTTTCTTATTTGAATACATAAATAGGTTTCGTCACTGTAAACGCTTATATAGGACACACCCTTTAACCCCATTTAGTTACGAATTTTCGCAACTTTGGGCCGGGGAATGCATAAAATGGCATCGTACACTTTCGAAAGTATTTTAAGAACACTTTTGAAAACACTTAACTTTGTTACACGTAAGCTAATGATATGGTCTGGCAAGTTAAATTTTTATGGCTGACGTCTTTAAATTAACCTCAACAATACATTAATCAACAATACATGTTAAATAATAAAAAAATGCATATAGATACTTGAGCTGTATCAATGTCAAACCTCAAAACATTAAACGTTATTGTTTAAAATATCTATGTTCTAACTTGACAAGCATATCCGTCAGTTTCTCCTTTGTATGGCAACATGATTTTTTTTCAATAAACCAAGTTCAGAAATTCTAAGTCAAACTTCAACATTAAAAAGCTATATGCTGAAGTACAAATACTTTCAAACATTGATTACATACATTCTATGAGATTATATGCAATTCTTATCGTGGAAAATGTAAAACTTGATTACGTCATTGGTCATTATGCTCTCTTTTTTGACAAAAATTTAATCAAAACTCTAAATTTATTTTACAGTAAGTGTTCATTTAAACATTTTAGTCATTTTACAATTTGTCAGTTTGGCTGTACCTTGAAAAAATGATTCCAAAGCCAAGACCGGCGATCAAAAATTGCGGATAGCTTAAATATGTATAAAAAAAGTTGTTGAAGTGTACAGTAACAACCCTCCGACGGTTTTGGCCCACAATGCTGACATAATGACACCATGTTATATAAAATGACATCAAAGATCTTATGGTTTATTTTGCCACCTCGAAAAAAATGGTGATCATACTAGGGGGAAAATGTTGAGTAACAGGATGTGCGCCGCCACCGCCCCGGAATGACTAAACAAGCGTGTAATTTATAGGGGTTACTTAATTTGCAGAAAGATTGTGCGAAACATTGGAAATATGTAATACCATTGTGTCCGATCCGAGCAAGTAATGGATGTGGATCGAAGCCCACCGCTTTGGCTTCATTGGTAGAGGCAAGAAATATATTTAACACGGCGTCGTTTGTGTATATCCCTGAAATGACATACGATTTTAATTCACGTAAGGTTACACTCAATTCATCTGGAAGTCAACATGAACATATTCAAACATTATTATTCAAATCAGGACCACATGTGCATATTTTTTTATGATAAAATGCTTTGATAGCTTTCTTTGTTTAAATAAGACTGTCAGGAAATAGGAGATACCTCATTTGCACAATCAGAGACTGTGTATAGCAATTTTATCATGTATTACAAATCGCAGTAAAGGTTGGTTAGATTTAGGTGGCAGCCATTCCCTGGGCATTCCGGATATGAAATAGATCTGTTTACCCTTTCCTATCCACCGCCCGTTAGCTGATAAAGTGTTTTATATAAAAACTAAGCTGATGCCGCATATGACAGGATATTATGGACATATTTGACCCCGCCAAAAAGACTTCAATGCTAAAGAGTCCCCTTTTACTAATATTAATATAAAGCTCGGTAGGTAGTAAAACTTCATGTTGAACTTTAAAAAAAAACAGGGATTACAGAAAGATCACTGTCGCCTTTATTAGTATAATAAATGGCCCGTCACTTAAAAAAAACTTTCAAGATGAATTAACCCATGCACCCATGTACCTGAAACTCACCAGGAAATCCGCGGATTTCACTGTAATATCCTGGGTCTGGTTTCTGAACAATGCACCTGTGTGTCTTATTCCCGAGAGCTAGGTAAGTTGTTGGACTTAACCGATCCTGGATTCCCACACCTACCTGCAATTAAGTGAGAAAGCGCGTTATGCATTAAGAATCCTAAATCTGATAGATATTAAAAAAAACATGTGCTGTATACCCGCGATGTAATTATTACCTCGTCCAGAAGGTATTTTCCCGGTTGACTGTGCCGGTGCAAAAATATGACATTTCTCTTGTAGGATGGATGGGTGTATAGACAAAGGTCAAGTTCTATAATGGATATTATGGCTTGATCCTAGCTAAAGACCTACTACTGGTTTACCGTAGTAGATCTCCTGTGCCCTTACACTTATATTAATGCGAAACTTTATTAGGTAGTCCTGTGGCTGTTTGTTAATACATGGTGTGGACTGGAATATTGTTTTAATCTGTATTGTCATAGCTTCTGTAGAGGCGGCCCCACGACCTTCCCTGACTTACAGGCCTACTTTGGATATGATGTGTTAATCGTAAAAGGGTTAGTTGTCATACAGAGCTACCACAGACCGTTGCATGCGATACTGAGCTGAATGCCCTAATGCCCGATGATAAAGTCACGAAAGACCAGAATTTTATCCAAGTGATCTTGAATCTCGCCCTGATTAGGAGATAACTCTGCATTAACAGTGCCACGTCTCTGCCAGGGTGAATGCGAGAAAATGGTATCTGGGGATATGAAAAAAGGCGGCAAACTGGTAAATGTGTAACACTTTGTTATATCCACATCTGGACTATTGTGCCTCTGCCTGGCTGCCAGCGCTTTTGCACTGCAACAAGACAAGAACAAAGCAACTGAGCAGGCTGCTAAACCGCGCTGCCAGAATAATCACATGCAGAACGCTTCAGGACAGAGTACCTACTGACACTCTATTAGCAGAGGCGGGCATTGAGCCACTGACTAAAAGAGTGGAAGCACACGGGTAACTGTGGCAAACACACGGGCAACTGTGTTCAAGGTACCCCATAGCAAAATGCCACCATACTTATGTGTACATGGATGTCCCCACCTATGCTGAATAGACGAACACGGTTTGCTGTAAGCCAACTAGAGAACTGGGATCCCCACATGCAGAAAGTTCCACAGGCAAACATACCATCGTACAAAGGGTCTCTGCAGTACCAGGGCCCGGTTCCGTGGAACCAACTTTCCAGGGAGCAAAGACAGCTCTCAACTTTAACATCTTTCAAAGACTCGCTGTGAGTGGGACTTGAGTGGCAAATGTTTTTACTATTGTTATGTATGTTGAGTTAAATTGTAATGTATATTCTTATTGTGTGCTTTCCCATGTATTTTGTGTATTTTATATATGTAACCCCAGAGATACCTGAAAAAAACAGGTCAGTAGACCTGAGCGTACTACTCTGGTAAAATAAAATAAATGAAACGAGTAAGTAGCCCACGCACGTAGGCAAGTTGGTATGTTGGAATTGTAGCTGGTGCTTGAAGCAATGATGCCATTCCAAAGGAAGGCAAGGCACGACAAGGTAAGGCCTGGCCAGCCAAGGCAAGGTCATGCAAGGTAAGGGCAGGCTTAAAGTCAATGCCATCAGCTCTCAAAAAAACGAAAGAAAAAATATCTTTTTTTTGGCAACTGCATACATTATGTAGATCAGGTAACGCAAGGTTACGTGCAACCAGTTTGATAAATTTGCAGTCAGTTATCGACACGGCCACACTTCGAGGTGTACTATTGAAAGGGAGGGGTCGTAATAAGGAATAAAATGAATATAATGCGTATGTGTTTTTATTGCCCGGCCTCAGTTGCTTGCACATGTTCGTATGTTGGAACATTTGTATGTTCATACATTTACGACATTTCAGCATGCATAGCAGGGCAACGTAAAACATCGTGGTTAGATTAGCTGCGATGGTCGTCTAACACCGGACATCGAGGGTTCGAACCCCGGCGGTGGCGTTCCTTTTTACCTTTTTTTAACATCCGTTGTTTTGCTTTTATGATTTTTCTTACTCAGGAATGTCAATAAGATAAATTTTTACTTATTTGTATTATACTCTTCGATGCTTCGGCATGTTTTGGCAAGCTAAGTTCGCCTGTTTAAATCCCACTGTCAGCATTATTTTAATTTTCTTTTTAACTTATCCAAAATGCCAGTTTTTTTAAAAGCTCTCCCGACTTGGCGATGTCTTCATTTAGTATTTTTCTGAGACCAGCCAAGCTTTTTTAAAGCCTTTCTTGTTTTCTCTTTTACAGACGCCTGTTTCTTTTCTTTATCAGTGGGGTCCTTTCTGAGCCTTATGCACTGCCTTTTCTGTCTGGTGCCTCCTGTCCAAACTTTCTTCCCTGAAGTTCAGGGGTAGGGAATTTGGCTGAAAATTAGGCTACTTCATTATAATAGCTAATCTAAAGGCGGCAAATACAAATAGGAAAGTTGGCGCTTCCAGTCGCTTTACCTGGCGTAACACACCAGCTTTGAAGGCAAACGGCTTAAGCGACGGTCACAACCCGCCGTACGTGTTTCTGCGTGCTGTCTACGTGCAAAAACGTGGGCAATCGTAGGGCATCCGTGCGTGGTGAGTACCACCTCCGTACGGAATCCTACGGATTTGGGAGCACGCAGACACGCCGTAGAACCTTAAGTGCATGTAAAACTTTTTCTACGTGCGGCCTGCGGATTTACCACCCGTGCGTGCGAGTACGTGCGACGCGCGTGCCCCGTACAGCCTATGAGCGTGTAACGTACGGACTCCGTGAGTCTAACTTCACTATTCTCACGTGCAATTGCTGTACGGACAGCGCACGAAGCACGTGCGTGCCACGCACGGTGCTTGCGTCATCCGTGGTTACTCCTCACTTCCCAGTTGACCTGCTCAATGACCACGCAGAACACAAGTGCACCATACCAGGTGCTCCGCACGTGCAACGCACGTGCAACACACCTGATCTCTACAGTATAAAGGCGACTTGACAGGCGACTGCCAACTCGTCTCCAAGATGCCCAGGAAGGCCCAGAAGAAGACTACCAGACAAGACCCAAAGAAACGGGCCGCGGAAGACACCAGGGCGGCTAGTGATGACGAAGTTAACAGGAGGTGCACGCACTTACAACGTGCGAGTGAGTAAGGAAACCGTGCGTACGCCGTACGTGTAGGTACGGCCTGTACGCGGCAACGTGGCAATTGCACAGAGGTCGTACGTTGTAAGCACGTACAACTCACTTACCACTTGCGCAACGTACGATGCCTGCAACCCCTCAAGGCCAGGCGTGTCGTGCAGACCACGCAACCGTTCGAGTGACGATACTCCCTCGGTCAGTCACCCTACGTTTTCAGAAAAAACGTAGCAGACGTAGCCTCCCAAAAAACGTACGGACAAAAAGCACGCACGGCGGGTTGTGACCGTCGCTTTAGTGGCAGATAGCTATATTTACACCCAAGCTTTGCACAGATCATTGCAGACGCTGTTGAAAGCTTACTAATTCTGTTTCTTCTTCTCTTCCTGCCATGTCTTTACATGAAATCAGTTTCTTCATTTTGGAGCCAAATGGCCTAATATTTGGTATGGAGGTAGAGTGGTCATTTTTTGTTGATACAGGCTTTTAGGATTGTTTTATGTTTGTGCTTTTTTCCGACAAAATCTGTAGATTTGGGGTCCCGGAGACCTAGTATTACACCAAAAATATCTCAAATTTAGTATGGTGTGTTTTATAGATTAAACAACATACTTGGCATAAACCCCATTAAAATGTAAGATTTGGGACTTTTCGACTGAATGTCTGTATTGTTTGGTGTGACTCAGATCGAATGCCATGCAGAGCAAGCAGCATGCTATGCATTTTGGAGCAAAATGGCAATTTCCAAGCAGTTTCATTTGGGCCCTGTTAAAAGTGAAATAACTGTACTGATAACGGGGTAAAAGTGGAGTTTGGGGGACTCCAGGGGTTTTTGAAAACCCAAATATTAAAAAGCATTAGGCTTTACATGAGGCTTTGCGAAACGTCTGTTTCTATATGAGGGTTTCAAAACATTTTTCAGAAAAGCACTGTAGTTAAAGTCTGATTCCTCTATATACCGAGGGGATAGACATTTAACTTTGGGGCTACATTGAATTTGTAAACTTTATATTTGGAACACGTCAGAGAATGTTACAGAGAAAGGCCAAACTTTAAAAAAAATTGTGTAACGTATTATGGCATAATGTAGAAAAACATGCAGTTATTTTACTTACAAGATGAAAATTGGTTTCATCCAGGAATGATACAAGAAAGTCCATCTTTGTTGTTTCTGTAATCATCATGTCGTCATCCATGTAGAAAAAGTATTCCGTCCATACCTGGGATAATCCAAGATTTCGGCCAGCAAAATATCCCTGGTAAAGGAAATATTTAACTACGTGAAGCATAATTCTTTCTCTTATGTAATGTATTTGCCAATTAGATTTTTAAAATGTGTTACTGCTTACTGGTGTTTTTTTATGAAAGAAGGCACAGAATATAACGCAAAATTAACGGGTTTCTGACAGGCAGTTTTTGGAATAATAAGTAACTTTGTTTCAAACATTAATTTCTTTAGTTTTTATGTTTAATTACACTTCCTTTTTTACAATGATAACATCTTATATAATTGGATATAATTTCTATTATTGAATAGTCATAATTTATGTCAATTTTATGACGTCATCGGTCAAAATTCAAGATGGCTGACCATTTAATTAGCTTTCGTGTAAATGTTTTTTCACTAATTTCGCGTCTAAACTCCGTGTTTCACATGAAACGTTCATATGAGCATCTTTAGTCCATTTGCGTTGCGTTTTGAGGCTGTATCTTAAAAAAAATGCAACTTTGAAAATTCCTGATTTCCGATCCAAGATGGCCGACAGCTTAATTATGCATGACGTCATTTTATAACGTCATTTTGACGTCAGTGTTGTTGCAAGGGGCAACATAAGTCTAAGCAGACATTAACATTCTATCATAGACACTTTTTGTTAACCCTCAACAGAACACCTTCCCGGACTGATTAATCTGTACACCTGGGGTCCGCGCGGACCCCAGAACAGTTTTTTGCTAATTTTTAGAAATTATCAACATGCTACCAGCTCAATTGTTTTGCAAACTGATGTGGGAACCTCTGTGTCCACATTACATACAAAAATCATACATTTCAAACTTTTTCTATTTTTTGGTGAAGAAAAGAAGACAAGAAGAAATACCCGATTTTTAAACCCATTTCAGACTGAAGGGGCTTTTGAGGCCCAACTTTGATCTCAGATAGCGGCTAAACGGCTTGCGCTAGAAGTATCAAATTTGGAGACCTTTCCTAAAATGTCTCTGGAAAAAAGTTCATATTAGTTTTATACTAGTAAGTTGATGTTTTTTGTGTTGCCATGGCAACGGGTTTCTAGCAGGCAGTTTTTTTGAAAAAAAGAAGTAATTTTGGTTTAAAGATAAAAAATTTCTGAGTTTTATATTAAATTACACTTCTTTTCCAACATTAATAACATCTTACATAATTAAATATAAGTTAAATCATTTAATATGCAAAGAATATGCTAATTTGATGACGTCATTGGTCAAAATCCAATATGGCGGACTATATTACTAGCTCTGACGTCATATGACGTCATAATTACACCAAAGTTATTAAAATTTAATTCTATTACTACACCATTCTCTGAAAACTTGGTAGACATACGATGAGTGCATAAAAACATATAAAAATGGAAATAAGGTAATGTATAAGAACGCCAGTGTATCCATTATGATCGAAAGCCGGCTGGGGTCCGCGCGGACCCCAAAAGAAAATCAGATATAATTTTTTTATAAATGGTAGAAACAGAGTTTTCTGCACTGTATTGAGAGACAACTTTATGGGTGACAATTACCTAAAATTTCAGAAAAAAATCTTTAGAAACAAAAAAGATATTACAGAATATATAGTGCTGGGGTCCGCGCGGACCCCAGGTGTACTGTTTAGGGTTAAAGCACGGTTGCATTCCTTTGAGTTTTACGAAAAAAATGACAATTTTACCCCCCTAAATTATATAAATGCCTCTAGAACCTCTTCGAAATGAGGTCTTATATCAAAAAGGATGATGGCTTCATTATTTATGAAGCCTTTTTGATCAAAAACAGACCACTGTGTAACTCATTTAACCCTCAACAGTACACCTTCCCGGACTGATTAATATCTACAGCTGGGTCCGCGCGGACCCCAGAGCAGTTCTTCGCTAAATTTTAGAAATTATCAACATGCTACCAGCTCAATTGTTTTGCAAATTGATGTGTGAACCTCTGGTAACCTTTCCTAAAATATATCTTGGAAAAATTTCATGTTAGTTAGATAAGTTAATGTTTTTTGTGTTGCCATGGCAAAGGGTTTTTGACAGGCAGCTTTGGGGGAAAATAAGTAATTTTGGTTTAAACATAACAATTTACTGGGTTTTATATTAAATAACACTTCCTTTCTGACAATAATAACATGTTACATAATTAAAGATAAGTTAAACCATTCAATATTTATAATGTTTGCTAATTTGATGATGTCATTGGTCAAAATCCAAAATGGCGGACCATATTATTAGCTCTGACGTCATATGACGTCTTAATTACGCCAAAGTTGTAAGAATTCAATTTTATTAGTACACCGTTCTCTGAAAAATTGGTGACCATGCGATAAATGCATAGAAACATATAACAACGTAAATAAAGTAATGTATAAGAACGCCAGTGTATCCATTACGATCGAAAGCCGGCTGGGGTCCGCGCGGATCCCAAAAGAAAAGCAGATATAATTTTTTTAATGGAGGAAACTGAGATTTCTGCACTGTATTGAGGGACAACTTTGTGGGTGACAATTACCCGAAATTTCAGAAAAAAATCCATGTACAAAACGCCAAGCAAAGTTAATAAGTACAACATTGCGATTTAGGAATGTTGCTTAAAGAATAATCGGTATGGTGAGGACTTTTATTTCATATTCTATGTTGATTGTCCAGTAATATATTGAAAATATACCTTGTATGCGGGCATCCGGTAGTGATCGACATTACTGCTCTGAAAGCTGGTAAAAAGGTGATCAGGTGTGTCATCAGCAACAACTATTCTTGTTCCAGGATATAACCTATTTACAGACTCGATCGCATTTTTAAGTCTACTGTAACGAAGAAATGTCTTCAGCACAACTGTCACTCTGTCCTTGACTTGCCCTTCAGAAGAGAAATGAAACATAAGTAAATTTGTATACAAAGACAAAAAATATCCAACATATTCAATAAAGAACTAGAGGTCGGAGATCTCATCCCTTCGTCAGAGGGACTTTGTTCTAGATAAACGAACATTTTTATTACTAGAAATCAATTTGGTCTAGAGTATAAAAGAATCTCGGTACTCTTTTTTTCCTTTTTTTTTATTCTACAGAACACCCCGAAAGGGTTTGCCACAGATTTACAGATGCACTGTCACCGTTTAGGCCCCCCTAATTGATTTTGGACTGTTACTGGAAAAATGTTACCAAAAATTTTGCTTTTGTATTATGATCAGAGTGTCACGACAGTGTCGCAAAATGTAATGAGAAGATGTGATGAAAGCAAAGAATCAGAACAGGGGGAGATTTATTGCTGTTTGCGTTTGTTTTTACACTATGTTCTTTTATTCAATTTGTGTCCTAACCTTTGTATTTCCACAGTAATATGCTTCAAATCTATGCAGATTAATCAGTTTTTTCGGCCCTTCCCTTCATGTATTTTATGGCACTTTTGCAATAAATTTAAGGTCTCCAGTGGACATCATGCTTAAAATTACTTGGTCTGGCCTTACAGTTTAGGGAATGACCTGCCTGAGGCATGTCCAACTTTCCATCCCCCCAAAGTATTTATAGGACAGCCCCTCCATTGTAAGCAATTTATACCAGATGGGGAGAACAGCTGTCTCGCATCTGAATCAATGCAGAGGTTAGTGGGGGAAAATCATTATATATCTAACACAAAAGGCCCACTGCAGCAACATTGGGACCCCACACGAGGCCCGTTTTGGAACTTGACCTTGGCCTCGTCAATGGTGGTTCGCATACCAAAAATCATGAACATCTATTTAAATATACTTGAGTTATTTTGCTCACAAACCACAAACACAAAAAACCCACTGCAGTAACGTGCGGACTCCTCACGAAGCTCAAACTTGCATTTGACTTTCCCCTCATCAACGGTACTCAATATATTATCAATCTTCATTGCGCAACAATTGCAATGGATACAATGTATGGCAAGTGTTTAAATCAAAAGATAACAATAAAACTAAAATCTACTTCTAGATACCTTATTCTAACGCTACTCTATAATTGTGCGTGATGGACTATACAATATATATGGAACATGGATACGATGTTAACATCAGTTCAAGGTGTCACAGATGATATTGTTTCTTTTCCGAAGAGCAGAGGATATGAATTGGCCTATATACAAGGATATTGGTTCAGGACATGACATCAGGAAATTAAAAGTATCTGAGCTTGTCTTAAGTAAGGTAATGTTTGAGTTACGTGAAATCATATTCATAAGTGTCAACCTTTCTTCAGTATTCATGGGACAAGATAATACAAAGTGAAATTCATCTTCAACAGTATGTTTACATGTAGGACAGCGTCTGTGAGTGGCTGGTACATTCTTATAACGACCTTTTTCTATTTCTAAACAATGTGCACTGATTCGCAGTTTGGTTATGTTAGCAACAAATGATTTGTTTTGGATTCATGAAAGGTACTTCTCAAAAGTGATGTCCGTTTTGAATTTAGTATAGGTTTGCAGTTTATTGTAATTTCTTACTTCTTGCCTCCAGCCAGAAACAAACGTGTCTTTCAGACGTCTGCCTGCCAAAAGTCATCTACGTCGAATCATGCCTTCAAGAGTTATTTCGCTAAATCCGACCAAAGCAAGTAGACTCATCTTTAATTACAAAAAAATGAAGTGCTATTTTTGGTTCAGCACCTTATTTAATTTTTGCCTAAAATAAATTGGACTTCTAAACAAAGAATAATAGAAAGGTTACCAACCTGTTCCATCTTCAAACAACCATGGCAGCTGGACGTGTTGAATGTGTATCGGCATGGTTGCAGTGAACTCCATGAATTGAATTATCACTAAAAAAACATAGATAAAGTTTATGTTGCTTAACAATGCAAAACAAAAACTATGATGCAAGAGTGGCCATGTGTTGTAATCCTGCAGAGCAAAGACCTGATACTTATAATGATTCTGGTTTATGTCCTGGAAGCGCTGTTAACAGAAGTGTTAAAATCTGTGCATACTAAAAAAGTAATAAAATGTAATCTTTCTAGATGGCGTTCATTAGGGGCCCTAGCATATCACTTTTCACCTTTAACTTTGTCCAGAGAAAGACTGGAGATGATGGTAGAGAGTTAGTGAGGTGGGGGGAGGGAGAGAAACTGGCAGACCTTGACTTTGCGGATGATCTAGCCCTGCTGTCTGAGAACACCCAGGATCTACAGCACCTCACAACGAAGCTAGAACAGTTTGCTGGGAACGTTGGGCTGAAGATCAGCATAGAAAAGAACAAGACAATGAAAGTGGGAGATCATGCTGATCAATCACGGCTGAGTATCAGCGTGTATAACACTCAAGTCGAAACTGCGGACCAGGCGGCCTACCTCTACTGCTACCTTAGCAGCGTGCTTAGCAACAGTGGTGAGTAGGAACCTGACATCAGCTGTAGACTAGGGAAAGCGGCTGCAGTATTTTAACCCTATCTAGACCCGGGGGGGGGGGGGCTAAAGGTGCCCGCGCCAACTTTGATGTCACGTAGCGTCTGAACGGCTAGCGCTAGAACGGCTAAACCTGGTGACTTTTCCTAGAATATTGTTGGCAACAATTCTATATCGTTGGAATAAGATAATAATTTTGTGTTGCCGTGGCAACGGGTTTCTGGAAGGCATTTTTTGCTAAATTTAGTAATTTTAGTTGCAACAATAGAACTTTATGGGTTTTATGTCATGTTATACATGGTTTCGAATATTAATAACATCCCAAAAATTTTATGTAAATTTCATTATTAAAGTTGCATAATTTATGCTAATTTGATGACAGCATTGGCCAAAATCAAAGATGGCGGACTATATCATTAGAACAGGTATATGCAGGTTATTTTCGTTAAAATTTCATCAAAACTTCCATTTCTTAATACAGAAAAGTTTCATATGGACGTCTTTAGTCTGTTTACAATGTATTTTACGGTTTATCCTAAAAAACTATTAATTTAAGATTGATGGTCCAAAATGGCGGATAGATTTAATATGCATGACGTCATTCTATAACGTCACCGGTGTTGCTACGGGCAACATAAGACTTAGTACACTATAATATTCTGTCATAAACACTTTTGGTAAAGTTATGTTGTATGTCATTTAGTTTTCAGGGAATAACCTATTTAGACGGTTTTGGCCAATAAAATCACATTTATGACGTCATAATGACGTCGTATAACGTCATAACGACATAAAACTTGTAGATATGATAAATTTTTACTAGTACACCATTCTCTGAAAACTTGGTGATCATACGACATACCGTTCTTGAGTTCTGAGGGGGGGGGGGCAAATGAGCCCCCGTTCCACCAAGCTCAAAAAAGCCCGGTCTAGATAGCGTTAAAGGATGCGCACCATCTGGGGAACCAGTGCCATTGACCCTGACACCAAACTACGCCTGTACAACAGCAAAGTCTTACCAAACGCAATATATGCCAGTGAAACATGGAAGTGCACAGCTAAACTAACCAAGAAGCCGGATGTGTTTCACCAGAGGAATCTGAGAAGAATCTTGAAAGTAAGATGGCAAGATCACGTCACAAACAAGGCGATTCTCGGAAGGGCGAAGACCCATCCCTTGTAAGACATTATAACAGGCATGAAAGAGGATGCAACTGGCAGGCCACACCCTACGCCTATCAAGTCAGCGCCACTCAAAGACTGTCATGACCAGGGTGCCACCAGGGGGCAGAAAGAAGAGAGATCGGCCAAAGAACACCTGGCGAAGAACCGTTCAGGAGGACCTCAAGAGGACCAACATTGCCTGGGAAGAGGTTGGGTAGTCGCTGCCGCTAGTCGACCCAGATGGAAACTTGCTGACCAATGTGCCTGTAGGCACAGAAAGATCTACGGTCTAAGGTAAGGTACTAACAGGTATTTTGATTTAATTATCCTTTAGTACAGTTTATTTGTCACAAGTTGTTTTACAATGTACGGGGCATTCAATCCATTGTTCGTGCAGTTTCAAATGTTTCAAATAAAATCCATATTATTCATTGCACTTAAAAGTATACCACAAGATCACCTCGATCGACAATATTGGCATCGAAAAATGTATTTTCATAGGCGATGTACTTGAGCTGAAGATTAAGCAGGGACGGGCTGTATGTTGAGATAGTTATCGTCTTTGAACCATTCCCAGTAACATCGACATCATGTACATGGCCAATCAAGTTGAAAACTCCTCTGGTAGCATTTATCTGAAACTAAAACATAAATATGTAGGAGGTATTATAGTAGTTATAAGTACAGATGGACTTCAGACGCTGGTGTTGTACAGTAAGGTCAAGCTTGATTAAAAATACATGATTCTGATCCTTACTCATTGGGTTGGACCCCTGTAAGGCTTCTTTCAAATCCAAGAACTGAGGACTAGGATTAGAACTGATAAGGGTGAGGCTGCTTCAGCAACCA